GTCGGGGATATTCCGATTATGTCGTGCTTTGCTCCTGTGATTCGCCATTCGATCCTCACAAACTATTGGACAACAATGACATGGAACGTTGTCTAGACTGAACAAAGACCCGGAGCACATCCGACTGCGGACCGAACTGCTCGTAATGCTTTCGGTGTCTGCTAATGAAGTAGCATAAGTGTAGACATGGAACCCGATTAGGCATTGCAATATGCCACAACGTTGTATACAAACCTAGTACGAAAAGACCACTGAAAATTCAACACAGCAACGAAATGGCAGTTCAACTCGAAGCTTTTGAGGTCCCTGGCGCCAGGACCTATTTTGGCCATGCACTCCCCTATGGATTACAAGTCAAGTCAAGCGGGCCAACTGGTCTCGCACCTCCCATCGCCGAGTCTGCGGCGGCACTTAGGGCATTGGGCGACTCCGGAAAACTACAAGATCTCTTGGATAAGCATGGTGCCGTCTTGATCCGTGGTGCAGGCAATGCTTCAGCCGAGACTTTCTCAAACCTCGTGGGCGCAGCTGAGAAAGGCAGAGGCTCTTATCCTCATGTTCAAATAGGACTGGCCGGCAAAAGAACTCCACTCGCGGACAATGTCTGGACGGCCAACGAAGGGTCGCCAAGCACCCGATTCTACCAACACAATGAGGTGAGGGCGCCCACGTTTGGCCTCAGGTGATGTGTTGAGTGTTCAAGTAAACTCACGTTCAATTGTCAGTACTCTAGGTACACTCGCTTTCCTTCAAACATTCACTTCTACTGTGTGAAGAAAGCGCCCAAAGGCGAGTTCATCCCGGTGTTGCGAGGTTACGAGACAGATTGATCTCGTTGACCTGAGTGCCTGTGATAGTTCACACTGGCTGACTCTGTGCTGAAGGCGGCGCGACACCAATCGCGAGCAGCGCCAACGTATTCGAAAAGGTCCAAGCCGAGATCCCTGAGCTTGTGGAAGAAATTAGCAAGCGTGGCTTGGGGATGAAGATGGTCTTTCGTGCCCCTGGGAATGAAGCCAAGGTCAATCAATTCAACTGGGCTGGCGAGCACAGCTTCGGGCAAGAACTTACTCCAGAAGACGACGAAGCGACGACAAAGCAAAAAGTTGAAAAGCAAGTCCGCAAGTTGACATCAGATTTCAAATGGAACGAGGATGGAAGTCTCGAGTTAACGCAGCATATTCCCGGTAGGCTCCCGCAGAATGTTGCTCAGCTAGCATCAAGAGAAAGGAATTCAATTCTGACGTGAACTTCAACTATAGGCATACGAAGGCTGCCAGCGAGCGGCAGGCCAGTCTGGTTCAACGGCCTGGTCGGGCGTCATGGTATTACGCGAGACATTGGTGCTCTCGATCCTCCTCATATCGGCCGTGACGGAATGACTTGTAAGTTCTTGCAGAAAGCTTACGTGACGCAAGCTCACTGATATGCTGCCAGATCTTCCTAGCGTCTACGGAGACGATACTGAGATCCCGCGTAGGCTTCTTGACAAGCTTATCGACGTCATTGATAAGGAAGAGATTAGCTTGATTCTTGAAGAGGGAGATCTTTTGTTAGTCGACAACTTCCAAGTCTCACACGGAAGAGAACCGTGGGAGGGCGACAGGCAGATATTAGTATCGATGTGGGACACACCAATCTCAATCGGGGAGTACTGATCCGCGCCCCATGAGTCTCAAAGAATGGCCGGTATTAAGTCGTCAAAGGGAACCTCTTCATAGCTGGAAGAAGAAAGAGTCACAGTTTCGGTACTGTTATTCAGTCCTCAAGTAATATACGGTGAGCTAGTCATAGCACGCAGGGACCCTTCCATTTCTCAGTTTCGACTGAAATACACGTCTTTTTCCTTGAATCTCTGAGCTCCACTCCATGACCGAGTTGGCGAAAAGATTTATGTTTCAGGCGAGTGATCCTTGGAGCTACTCCGGGATCTTGAGCTTCACCTACAAAGTATACTGATAGGCAGGGTGGCACTGCCATTTTTCACCCAACTTAGTCGACCGTGATCCCAAGCGTGTGCCTTCGTTCTGAAGATCCTTGTCCCCGGCAGCGCGAAGCTTACGATTACGCCAACGAAGGTAGAAGTGCAGCGAAGTGGCCAGAAGAATGCACATTCCAGAGAAGGCCACATTAATGATGTTTGCCTGCCAATACTGCGGGCCATGGGACTTTGGGTAAAAGTAGCTTGCGTAAATAGAAGCCAGGTTAGATCCGGCGTTCACGACAGCGTATGATACAGCTCGTTTAGTCGCCGGCCGAGGAAGTGTGGTCGAGACCCATGACAAGATACATCCGAACGAGCCATATACACTCATCATCATGAATGTCGCCGTGTATCGGGCTGCAACGTTGAGAGTAGTTGCCGAGATTATGAAGCCGACGCTGCAAAAGACCTGCGGCCACACGATGTGCAGCCACCTCTCACGATGCTTGTCGCTGTGCCAAGAATTTGTGATGCCCAATATCGCTGCGAACACGTATGGCGGAGCAGAGAGAAGCAATGTATTTCTTTGGTTGTAACCGAGTGTCGCTACAATGGTGGGAAAGAAGTTGGTAAAAGCAGCCGCAGTGTTGAGTCCAAGTTGCATGAGCCAGATCATGTAGAGTGCTGGATCCGTAAACGTCATCTTCAGACCTTGCAACGCTGATGCTTCTTCTCGATTATCTTCTTCGACTGCTTCTTCGGTGATTCGAAGGATAGCAAGCTTTCTCTCCTCATCGGTGAGCCATTTGGTAGTCGCTGGATAGTCCGGAAGTGTGAGATACGTAACGATGGCGACCGGAATTGGGATTGTGCCCTCAATGATGACTGTTTTGATGAAGTCAGAATATCACCAGACACTGATTTCAAAAAGAAAAACTCACAAAGCCATCTCCAATCTGCGAGGCCCAGCTTTCCATTCATGCCTCCCATGATGGCGCTGCCCAGAAGGCCACCGAAAGCACCTGCCATCTGTCCTGCAGCATAAAGTACCGAGATACGGACAGCCAGCTCCTTCTTCGTATACCACGAGCTGAAGAGGTACAAGGCACCAGCTATAGCGTGGTTAGCCACAGGCCTGTGATAGTAGTTAGTGGAAACTAACGGAAGAAGGGTGCCTCAACAAAGCCCAGGAGAAATCGGAGAACTACAGCTCCCTTGTAGTTTTGAACAGCGCCGGTGGAGGCACTGACCACAGCCCAACAGCACATGACGACTGGAAGAAAGATGCTGGGTCTCATCTTGTTGAGAATCATGTTTGTGGGAACCTGTGTGAGGATGTATCCAACGAAGAAGACACTGATAATGGTATTGTACTGGGTTCCAACCAGACCGATGTCATTTTCAAAGTTTCCTAGACGGGCTGTCGCGATCTGATCACAGTTAGTGTGATTCCTTGTAGCGAAGATCACATTGCTTTACATTGTTGCGGTCCAAGTAATTGAGCACATGTACTTCTCAGTAACCATGTCAGTGAGAGCTCCGCTATGAAAAATCTGGATGAACTTATAGAGTAGCATCATCAAGGGCATCCTAAAACAGCGGTCAGAAACACCAGACTACGTACGACAAGCCATCGAGCCACTCACATCCGAACGTCAATCCTCCGCACAAGGCGTCGCTCTTTCAAGTCCCTGTTCTCGATGGGTACATCCTGGGATATGTCTGATTTCAGTGGGTGATCGAGCGTTTCGATATGAAGGCCCAGAGTGTCGTCTTTACGAAGGTCATTCAACGCCATCCTTGTGTGCAAATGAGAATTTCTAGTGCGTTCGATCTTGAGATGGACGCATTGGTGTGGAATGAGGCTCGGACGTAGTCACATACTTATTTACGGCCGACCGAAGAGAGGTCATCGGACTGCTTGCCGATATCCTCGACCTACTCACGGATACAACTTTCTTATTGCTCAGACCTAGTTCCTTACCCCGCAAGAAATCTTGGAGAATCTGTTCTAGCAGTGGATCTCGTGCGAGAAGGATGGCTACATGGCAATAGTAGTCAGATGTGTGCTGAAATCAGGCCAGGCGAGTGGATTGGTTGGTCGGAACGTGCTTACGAGCCGGTCGGTTCTCGCATGATCTTGGTCTACTGTACCATGAACAGATAGATCGACAGGGCTTCATCGGAAAGTAATCTTGTTGGCTGTTTTGAGACATGGGTGTTGATGCTGGAAGGAAGGTAGCATCAACTATGTCATGTGGTGCTTGAGAAGTTGCCTGCAACGAGTGCAATTGTTACAACATCCGGACTCGGACCATCGAGCTCATAGTCCTACAAGACAAGCCTACGCAAGCCTTCGAGGCTTTAATATACTTCCCAGAACCACCGTATGCTCAGCTCTACGTTACGGTACCTAGGTCTACATTCATATCTGAATGTTAGTATTCATCAGCATTCCACCCTAGTGAAATTGGGCACTTGCGCATCAAGATCCCAGTTTCCCCGCAACCCCGGATATCCATACCCGTTGGCTTAACCTCAGATCGTGGGGTTGATTATCTGTAAGGGCTTTTGAACGTACAGCACAACCTGTTGGCGCCACTAGAATACAGCCAACAGCACTGGTTGGTCCTACGGCTCGGGAATCGGATATTCTGAGGTTCTGAGCTCGCATCAAAGGTCCTAGCGGTCGGGTATTGTCACAATACGTCACGCTTCCCTGCAAGCCTCGCTTTGTCAGCGGGGTCGATTCAGTTGAGCTGCACGCAAGTACAGGGGAGAGGATGTAAGGAAACCAAGCGAGGGCTTGCATGATGTGCTCGGAGAAGTCCCCGATATCGCTGAGTATGGCGGGAACTTTGCCCGAATACCGTGCTTTTCTGCAGAAGTACATGAATGCGCGGATATTTTGACATGTTCCAAGGTTTAAAGACTCTGAATCCCCATCTCATCGGACTTTGTTGTAAACCAGCACATTTTGACCGCGTGTCTCCACCGGTACACGACGTATTGCAAGATAGATCGAGACTCTTCCCAGCCCAGCAACTCAGAAAATCTATAATAACGCAACCATAAGATGCCTAGTGCTATCAAGCCAATCGTACTCCACATAGGAGACCCTATACAGTATAATCCAGAGCGATACAGGGCGTTGGAAGAGATCGCTACAATTATCAGGCCAACCATAGAAGAGAGGCAGAGGGACGCCTTCTTGAAGGCCCTGAAGGAACAGCAATGGGGCAATTTCTCAGCGATCCTGCGACCCTTTTGGAACTCAGGCGGTGAGATGGGCCGTTGGGACAAAGAGCTCATCTCTCTCCTGCCTTCCTCCGTCAAAGTCTTTGCCTCCGCAGGTGCTGGATATGACTGGGCAGATGTTGGTATCTTGGCTGGAAAAGGTACACCACTACCCTCCTTCTCAACATCTTCGAGACGTTTTGTTGACATGAACAACAGGAATCTTGTATTGCAATGGAGCATCAGCATCGTCAGAAGCTGTGGCAGACATGGCGCTTTACCACATTATATCAGTGTTCCGCAACATGCAATGGACCAATACGGCAGCACGTAGTGGTAACGCAGACCAGTTCCTTGATGCACACCGGCATAATAGCGAGACAGCACACAACCCTGCAGGGCACACACTCGGCATCATTGGCCTCGGAAACATCGGCTATCGCATTGCACAGAAGGCATTTGCCGCCTTTGGCATGGAGATAGCATATGTCGATCCTATCCTCAAGCAAGCGGAGCAGGAAGCCACTGTCAAAGCAGTGAGATACCCAGACCTGGACTCCATGCTCGCTGTCGCAGATTGTGTGGTTATTTCCGCCCCTGGAGACGCAGAAGGCGGCAAGACCCTTATGGATGCCTCACGCCTAGCGAAGATGAAAGAAGGATCTCGATTGGTCAATGTTGGGCGTGGAAACCTGGTAGATGAGGAGGCATTGGCTGATGCGCTAGAGTCAGGGCATCTTTTCGCTGCTGGACTCGATGTACACTCGAACGAGCCTCACATCAACAAGCGTCTGATCTCCATGAGAGATGTAAGTCTGACATGTCACACCGCTGGTGGAGCTGTTGAGACGAGAATCGGCTTTGAGGATTTGGCTATCCGAAACGTCATTGAAGTACTACTAGGGAAGGAACCTTTGACGGCGGTGAACAAACATTTACTTGGGTAGATGAGACGTGAAAACCTATAATATGATTAAGTCTCTTGTCTGAGGAAGACTGCATCTGCGTGGGTTCTCCGTTCTCGTCGTTATTATTGTTGTTCTGTTGAGGAGGGCTAGCTAGCTTGATAGACTGCAACTCCTTGATGCATATGAGCTCATGCGCGGGGAGTTGTTCATCTCGAGCATGGAGTCTAATAGTCAAGGATTTAAAGCGCTAATTTTTCAATTCTCAGTGGAAATTATTTTGATACCAGTGTATTGACTTGTATCATCTTTTCAACATTGATCCAGGTTAAACACCAGGCTGTGCTACTAGCCATGAACCGTCCAGGTCCAGGCCTACCTTGCTATGTAAGACCAAGCTAAGAGTCGACGGCTTTGCTTTATCCTTTTCCGTTGTCTAGCATCATGCTGTATGTCCTGGCCGGTTGGATATGGGGTTACCGATCAGGGCGCTTTCAGCTCATAACAAAGACTCGGCCATTGATGGGCACAGGAAGTTTGCATGTGCATGCCTTAGCGTGCAAATATGCTTCATGATCTCCCGTAGCTACCCAGAATTTGACTCAATCAAATTGGAAAGATGTCTCAAAAGGAATCTATGACATAGGTAGTCTGATATCGTATGATTGATGCTGATCACCCGGGTCTCTTTCTCTACAAATAATTATCTTAGTATTCAGGGGAGATCACGATTACGAAATCGACTATGAGACAGATGACAACATGGTCTTCTAATACTTTGTTCTTCGGGACAACGGAAGTTCATTTGGCCCACTGTAACAATGACCTTGCTGAGTGACTCCGAAGGGACTGCCTATAGAGAACTGGACCGGATGCTAGTGATATGGGCAGCACATGCTAGACGAGGGATACCAGTGACAATAGAGGAGAGCCTAGAAATATCTGGTGATCCGAGAGGAGAGTACAAGCAACTCTTGGCTGCAGTTTTGGGTGCGCTTGCGGTAAGTCAGCCTGCTGTCCAATCCACTGGATCTTAGGTGGAGTAGGATGAGGGAGAGTAGGCACACGTGAAGCCACACTCCGATGCATACACACAACTAAGTGGTGGCATGAACATTAATTCGGGAGACTGGGTATCTACTAAGGCCGAATGGAAATAAGCCACCTGTTTTCCATTGGAAAAGATGTATTCTTAAATCTCGAAGACCCGTGTCTAATTCTATATGACTGGAATAATTCCATCATTATACGTAACAACCTAGATCCAAAATCGGTACGCTTTTCAACCCACTCATGAACGCTGATTTCTCAAACGCTCAGACTCAACTAAAGCGAGTGCGCGAATGCGAATAACAACAAGATGGCGGGTGCAGTCTTCGCAAACGCCCCTAACAACGCTGCCTCCATCGAGCTCAATAATCTTCTTGCAAGGCTCGGGGTTTTGACAGCGCTCAAACTTGCCGGGAAGGAAGACTGAGGCGTATGGCTTACCGCATTGCGTGCAATAGAATGCAACGGACGGTTGATCACACATATCGAGCGGTGGGCGCAGGATGTTCCGCAAAGGTTCTTCGAGTAGAGTTGCTTTAGGTCTGGGGAGGTTGCAGTGGATCAGCTGTGTAGGTATAGGATGCTATGTGTTGTCGTGGAAATGGTACGCTTATCGTGGGTAGGATTCTGATGTACCTTATGTCCCAATGTGGAGGAATCATTGCACTTTTAAAGATTTTGGCAAAGGTCTAATCTACGTTTCTAACCTGGTCACCTAGGCAATGAATGCCATGATAGTGGCATTGCAACGAAAACAATCATAAAAAGGGCTTTGTTCAGCGTCTGAAACATCGAATTTGGGAATTGAGGCTTTGCGTCTGCAAAGAGTTGATTGGACCAAGCACCTTGGTTTTGAAGTTTTGAAAGTAAACTGGATCTATCTCAAGGTTTTCAAGGTCAAAAATAGCACGGAGACTTCGAACAAAGCATGATTTCGTGGCAGTGTCAACATCGAGTTGAGCTATGCGTCCAACATCAGGTTACTGCTAGAACAACGCAATCGTCTTCGGCGCGCAGGAAAGTACTTGTGTGTTACCGTCAAGAACAACGCGAAGGCAACAATTAAGGGAAGTAGACATAAGTACTAAGTTGATAACTGGATATATCCGAGAGACCTAGCATAACTACGTAGTAGAGTAAGTAAGTGCTTATAAAGCTGGGAAGTGCGGGAAAGCACATGCAACTCTTGACCATAAGTATGCCTGCCTCAGTTCAGCTATCTCAATTGACCTCTTTTACTTAAGGTATTGATTGGGGGGGGGGGGTCTGGTATTGACTAGCCTATACGTTGTCTACCTAGCCCAAATACCAAGTTGATCGTACCGCCCAAGGTTCTGGAAAGCAAATCATGGTGACTGAAGAGATCTGACGATACCTCAGCCATCACTGGCTCACGACATAATGATACCCATGACAAGTCGAAAAACGGAAACCCTGAAATTGGGGGGTTTGCAGCATGGCTCTTCTACCACCTCGGCTAGCATCATCGCGAAAACCGAATGGAGCCATTTTAGCCAGGTTCGTCCACTTTTAGCTTAAATGCAATGCAACCTGCCACACCCGGCATCCCGCCCAGGGTCAATTGAGCCAGGCATTTATCCGTGAGGGGTGCAGGTCCAACGTCATTTACCCCGGATTCATTCAGAGCGATATAAAGCATTCATACCATGACGAGATTAGTCCGTGACATCTGGTAGAAGGTTGGGTAGTACCATATTTGTGTTGCATTTGGGTTCAATGACACTGAGACAGCCGATATGAAGTCCACTATTTCCATGCCACTGGCCTCAGTCGTTGCATTGCTTCCGAGTGAGTTCACCAGGTTATCAGCATCGACCAAACTATCTACCCAAGGCTAACTTTCTGGATAGCTTTCGCACAAGGACTTGTGAACCCTATCATTCCGGGGTTTAATCCGGACCCAACGATCATTAGAGTTGGTCAAGACTTCTTCCTTGCAACTAGCACTTTTGAGTTCTTTCCCGGCGTCCCCATTTACCACTCAACCGACCTGTGAGTCTACTTGTTTCTGAGCGACCTGCGTAGCACCGTGTTACCCAATGCTCACTCAACCGATGCAGCGTGAAGTGGGAAAACATTGGCCATGCACTATCGCGGCCGTCCCAGCTGAACATGCGCGGTACCGCTCCGAGTGGTGGTATCTTTGCGCCAACGCTGAGACACCACGACGGTCTCTTTTACTTGATTGACACAGTGTTCGACGTGATCAGCCCTCCGGACAATGTGAGTTCTTTAAGCGTAGTATGTGAGAGGAACTTTGGCCACTTACTGGTGGGCTTTTCCCATAGGTTACACGGGTGCCCCGTTCATTTTACGTCACGACCCCGAATATATTTGATCAGGCTAGTTGGAGTGAACCTACATATGTTGACCAGTGGGGCTTCGACCCGGACCTCTTTTTCGACGATGATGGGAAAGTCTATTTGACTTCGACATTCTCTGAATTTGTCGAGAATGGTAATTTTGCAAACTGGATCACCGAGATCGACATCAAGACTGGCGACTCCTTGAGTAACTCCCGTGTTCTCCACACGACAACGGTACCTCCAGAGCTTGGCTACCCACTCGTAAGCCTCATTCGCCATAACGACCAGCATAATATGAAACCGTCTTAGCTAATCGTCAACCGAACTATCTTAGACCGAGGGGAGCCACTTGTACAAACTCAACGGCACATATTACATGGTCACTGCCGATTCTGGAACCGAGGCTAATCACAAAGCAAATGTATATCGCTCTCAGACTCTGGACGGGCCGTGGGAAGGAAACCCTCATAACCCCGTTTTGTGGAATGGCGAAGATATGTCTCTGCCAGTACTTGCTACGGGGCACGCAGACATTGTTGACGACGCCGATGGAAACTGGTGGGCCGTTTTCCTAGCGATTCGACCACAGAATCCTAGGAACAGTACTGGACTTCCTCAGCTTGGTCGCGAGACCTTCCTGTGTCCTGTTACATGGGACGCTGACGGGTGGCCCATGTTCAATAACAACGAGCCGATTGCTGAATACATGCCCGACGTTCTGTACGACTTGAACCGGCCCAAGACATGGCGCGACGATTTCGAGGGTGGACTCACTGATGAAACCTACTACTATACACGGACACCATACAAAGGCTTCACAGACTTCGAGTCCAGCCCTGGCAAGCTCCGAATCAGAGGCAATGTTTACACTCTGAACGATCGCGAAACCCCGGCAGCACTACTTCGCAAGCAGGTCGACATCAATACTACCTTTAGCACCGAACTCAGCTCTTTCAGCCCGGCATCGTGGAGACAGGAGGCCGGTGCGAGTGTCTATCTCAGCATTCACTACCACAACGAAGTCGCCATTACTTACTCGAATGATACTGGTAGGCGATGCATAGTCACGCACACTAGAACGGGTCCCGACGCTACACTCAATACTACCTACATTGAGGATGAGGATGTTGCCAATGGTGAGCCAGTGAAGCTTTTCATCGAGGCCAAGGATGTAGGATATCGTTTAGGATACTCTACAGGAGATAAAGCGCCAAGTTGGCTTGCGACTGTTGAGAATCGCTGGCTCCAGTCATACGTTGAGGGCTGGCAGAACTTCGTCGGAACCCATTTCGCGATCTACAGTACCGGAACCAGACTTCCGACTCTAAATCCTGCGGTATATTGAGTCTATTCCAAGCTTCCATAACGTAGCAAGGCTAACATCACTGTTTTTTAGGACTTTGAGTACGTCCAGACTGAACTGAACTAGCGTGGCGGTATGAGGTTAGAGGAGAATTTGCAGGGACAGGCAACCAGTTTAATCGATGTGTTTCACCGGATAGATGTAGCTATCACCTTCGAATATCATTTCCGAGAAGGAAGACACATCTGAAATGGTGCTCTTACATTACACATGTGTATCTTGCATCAACACGTGGGTAGATCTTCCAGCTCTGTAGCCTCTATTATTTGGCATTGACCGTTTCTTGAGGTTCACAACATAATGTACTTAATTAAGTGCCTTTAAGAAAAGAGCCCGAAGTAGTGACTTCTGAGGCGTGAAAGCATAAACGACGATAAAATGTTTCAAACTTCTTGTAATTCCATGAAATGTGTTTTAAGATGATCTGCCTCCTTTGGCGTTTGCTACACCTCCTTACCTACTTTGTTTTCTTAGACACGCGACCGCTAGATCAGGCCCTCAGATGTAACTTCAGGACTTAGTGCAGACCAGGCGGCAGTACCTTCTGACAGGCCCGAGGTTCAAGACCATCCTGATGAACGATCAAAATGACCCGTGTAAGTTGGGGTTCCGAGAGTTAGACCAACTTGATTGGCTCGCACGGAACGGTCCCTCTCCATTTCTCAGTGTCCACCTCTGAAATTCCGTTTCGATCTGCCGGTGGAGCAATCCGATTGGCCCAGACGGAATCATCAAACTGTATGAAGCAATCCGAAGTATGTTTTCGGAATTTCGGCCGCCCACACTTGAATGTGAAGGGACATGGACTTACGAGGGTCTGCACTGCTGAAGTCAAACAAGCTAGGCATATATTAGGCCTTCATTATCCTCCTAGATGTGCGTAAATCCAATGACCCGATAACACCAGAGATCAGAAATCCAGGCAGACATGGACGCCAAACAGCTATTGCCAGTCGCAACCGCGCACCCTTTCGCGTCGATCACAGCCTTTTTGGCTGTTCTCATCGGCCTCTATACGTTCTACTACCGGAAAATACATCCTTTGGCCAGATTCCCTGGCCCTTTTCTTGCGTCAGTTACCAACTTCTGGAGACTCCGGGAACTATGGAACATGCACCTACCGGAGACCCTAGTCGTTCTGCACGAGAAGTATGGGGATGTCGTCCGCATTGGCCCCAACATGCTTTCCTTCAGACAAGGGAGTGCCGTACCGAGGATTTACAAGGCTGGCCGAACTTTGGCCAAGACAGCTTTTTATGATGGCTTCACTTCTTTCAATCCCAATTTGTTTGGAACTCGAGATGAAGAGGTGAGTCGTTGGAAGTTTCGCAAGGTATGGGAGATCACACACTGATTTTCCAAGGTACACTCGATGCGGCGACGGCAGATGGCACACGCATTCTCTTTGCAGTCGATCAAAGAAATGGAGCAGCACATTGACGGTCACATGCTTCAATTCCGCAATAACCTCGACGAGTACTCCCAGACTGGCCAAGTTTTCGACCTCAAGGACCTGATAGCCTTCTTTGTCCTTGATGTTCTAGGAGATCTCGCCTTCCGCTGTCAATTTGACTCGCAGGTCGAAAAGGACATTTCGAAATTGCCTCCCATCAATGACCACATCTTTCTTGCTTGCCTGATGGGCATGATTCCTGATTTTATGCCGCTCATCAAAGCTATCTCTCCATGGATCCCGATTCCATGGCTGCAACAGCTTCTCACAGCTAGACAAAATCTCAAGACCCTTACCGCGCAGTGTGTGAGAAACCGATTAGCTGACACTGGTGCTGCTCGAAAAGACCTCATCACCAGTCTGATCAACTCTGTAGACACGGAGACAGGCGCTAAGCTCACAGAGCTAGACATACAAACAGAGGCATTTGCGTTCATGTAGGTTGTTCGACGTTGCATTGCTCAGTTGATTTTCTCCGCTGTTTTCTCTAACATATTATTAGTGTTGCTGGCTCCCATACGACGTCCGGAACCCTTACTCTTCTCTTTTCTCACATTCTTCAAAACCCGGCTGTACGTACCAAGGTGGTAGAGGAGGTCGATGCAGCGGTTGATGATGTTGGTTCGGCCATCGTGCCTATCAAAGACCTTGAAGCAAAGCTTCCATACGTCATGGCTTGTCTAGATGAAAACTTCCGGATGAACTCTGTTTTCACTATGCCCTTGGAGCGAGAAGTGACTGCCAAGGAAGGCTTCGAAATCGAGGGCTACGTAGCTCCCAAGGGCGTGCGTCTCTCCCTTCTCCCAAGATTGGTGTAACTGGAATTGCTGACAAAAACAACAAGACCGACCTGTTCAGCCTGAACCACGTTGTTCATCATAATCCTGCCATTTGGGGCAAAGACCACGATGTTTTCAACCCCTCAAGATTCTATGATCAAGAAGGGGAGAAGCTCCAGCGTTTCCTCAGCCCCTTTAGCATGGGTCATCGCATGTGTATCGGACGCAACATGGCCATGACGAACATGCTCAAGCTTGTTGCAACAACATTTAAATGTTATGATCTTGAGGCGGTGGAGCCGATGGAAGCTATCTCTACTATCAGCGTTGGAATTTCGGAGAAAGAAGGTCCATTGTTGTGTCGTGTTCGTAGAAGATAGGTTGAAGATGCAAGAAATCGAGTAACTTGTCTCATATCGGCGTCTTTGTGATTATGAGTCGGTCGAAAAAGAAGGAGAGAATGGCGGTTATGTGACTGCGTCATGGATGAAAATAATCAAGCTTGAATGCTTCTATCTTTGCTAAGGTAGCGAGTGCTGGCTATTTCAGTTATCTCGAATGACCTGACTACACTCAAGTTGTTCCAGGGTTTATAATCAATGTGCAATCAACTATGAATGAAGTAAGATAGCTTCTGGATAGGTTCATGATTCGATCCTAAGAGGTACGTTGTATCCACCTGTTAAATCTCACTCTCTGACTCTAACATCCTTATCGAATGTAAGTTGACGCGGCTTATGTTCAGGCTCCATTGAAAGCTGAGTTTTTCAAAGTCGATGCTATTTGGCCGCATGCTGCTCGAGGAAACCAATCGCCTTCCTGAGAGACTCCACAGCAGTCACCGAATCCCCAGCTGAAGTCTCGACGTTGACGTTACCGGACCTTCCATCGAAACCGTGCTCCGCATCAGATGGAAACTCTGCCAACACACGCACTCCAGATGCCTTGAGCTTCTCTGCGGCTCTGGTGCTACACTCAACCGGTACAGCTGAGTCGTTCGCACCATGGAGTAGCATGACAGGCGGGAAGCCACTGAAATCCCCAAAGTCAAGTGGGAATAGAAGTTGGTGTTCTTTGGGTACTGCTGCAGCTCCTTGAGTGGCAATCTGACGAGTAAGACCAGAGACGCCAGTCATGTAGTCGGGGAAGAGGGCGTCGATGTGCAGTGCCGACGTAAGAGCAAATCTGGGGTCAGCGGACGGGTCGCCTGATATCGGATAAGCTGAGACAGGCTTCCTCTCTTCGCCCGAAGCCTTGGCCATGGGCCACTTTTCCAGGATTGGCCCGGTCTCGACTGGCGGCCGGCCGAAGATATTTTTCCCGGGAGTTGTGTATCGACTTCCAGAAGGATCGAGCATCCCGTAGATGAGCAGAAGTGCGCTAGGCTTTTGAGCAGCCGAGACGGCTGTGTTAAGAGCTAGATACCCACCAGCGCTTGACCCACCGACTAAAATTGAACCGACCGGACGGCCTATGATCTCCGGCAGTGACGACAGGGCCCATTTATAGGCGTCCGCTGCATCTTCAACGGAGTCGTGTGCGGTCGACTCGGGCATCAAGCGGTACTCGGGAGTCACAAAGACCCATCCACGGGAGGCGGAGGCATGCACAAGCCAGTGAGGCAAGAACGAATACCGATCTCCGACGATCTAGGAAAGTCTTCCTGTTAGCTTCGAACGGCGTAGATCAAGCGACCCAGTGAGATGATTCATATGGGTATGCGGCTCGAACGGAAGCAATTGCTTACAAGAAAGCCACCGTGATAATGCAGCAGCACAACAGCGGGAGAGCCATCTGACTTCTCGGGGTACACGACGTCGGCGTTGATGGTTATATCTGAGGTAACTTTGAAGGGCACTGTTCGTGACGTGTACCCCGCCAATGTCTCCATCGGAAATGGGGAGCCCATGTTAGGAAGTGCTGCGATCGTAGAGAGACAATTGCTAGGAATGCAGGGTCTAAAAGCTGAACAAACACTAAAGTAAACACTGATTCAGATCTTGATCACATCAACTTCAGCGTTTGCTAGATGAGACAGCGGGGTTGACTGCACTGAGCTGGCTCTTTTGCTTGGTTATTAATAAGTTCTTACTCTGACGGGATGACCGGAGTTAGTTTGACCCCGCTATTAGTTCCGGCTCGGAAGTGACCGGAACTTGCTCAATCGCCAATCGGAAAAGTCCAATTGCCCGTTGTACAGTTCGTGGACATGGGCGTAAGATCAAAGAAACCGTTCAGCTGGTCAAAAACCATCATATCTCCCATATTGCCAAACAATAGAGCATCAGAAGGGCTTTCGACACGATCTCTCTGTTCACCTTGCCCGCTGCTAGTCGATGCCGTGGCCGAAGAGGCAGACAGCCGTGTCGTGAGTTTCCGTAGGCCTTGAAGTCGCTCCCAAAGAGTCAGCAACAACGTCGACCTATTGCTTAGGGCTCTGATCATATCCAGCGCAATGTCAAACTCGACAGTGACTTTGTCGCAGAACATGGAGCTGGCATTCACAACAGCCAGTAACAGGTTGCCAAAAGCAGTTAGTAAGAGGTGCTTGAAAAAAAGCGGATTACGCTTTATGATGGCGGTATTTTCGTTGAGGCCTGAGAGCATCTGTAGCGACTCTTTGGCAACGGCGACGGCCTTGTGAGCATGTCTCTGATACTGCGTGATCCGCGTACCAGATTGGAGCACCGGGCGACAGATCAAGTTGTGCAAATGGCTCTTGCGGAGAAATAGCACAGCCTGAACATGTCGAACCTCTTGCCCCGGCTGAATGGGTTCAAGCTTCAGGTCGTCAGCCAGGAGTTGATACCACTGCTCTATCCGGTAATCGAGATAGTCGATTTTGTCGATATTAAGCTCACTCTCTTTCTCGACTTGGCTATTGAGGGCGTACCACGTCTTGCCCGCTAGTTTGGTCCAGTCGAGAAGCGCGGTCATCACCGGATCATGTCCGTTCTATCGGCTTGTCAGCAGGTCTTGGAGAATAATCCAGTACAACGTCACGGAGTTGGTGTACTCTTACCATTGCGAGTAGTGTGGGGTCGACATGGCAGTCCTGTATATAGAACGGTATCCCCTGGCCCAGGCTTGTCCTTCTCTCTAACATGTACACACACCAGAACGTCTGTAGCCCCGCTGCTTGCTCTTCCGAGTTGGTAAAGCGATCTACAGAAGCCCTGCGATGTAAGCCCATTTCGAGGCAGAGCCGAGCTGCAAATCCAATGATGCGACCGGTCCGTACTTCTTCATCAAGGTGATAGTAGTAAAGGGCCTACGTGTGCACCCGTCAGTAACATCACCCGGGAAATATATTCCGCCTGTTCCAGATAAGAGCAATACATACCATCAACACCAGCATCTGTATGTTGCTAATCGAGTTTTTACCCCATAGAAGCCCCTCGCCAGCTTCGGTGGCGCTCTGAAAGAGCCTCTGAGCTAAGTCATTGCAATTGCCACTCTCCAAAGTCAAGCAAGTAGCCAGGATAAGTTTTAGTTTGTTAGTATCACTGTGGAAAAGACACTCTGCCAGAGTTCCTCGACCCCGCGTCTCGTGAACGTTGACGGCCCGTAGAGTGTCAAACACGTTACTAGCAACCTTGAGAAGCTGCTCTTCGCTGACGACGGCGTAGAGAAAGCCGGTGCCCGAAAACCACTCTCGGATGTGGTTGGTAGCATCTTCGAGGCTGATTTCCCATAGCGGATCTCGGGCTAGAATCTTCATGAGTGGCCCATATTGCGCCAGCTGAGATGGCGTATTTGAGGCAGGGTTGGTCTTCGGGGTAGACTTGTCCAATATAGAGGGCGGGATTCCCATGGCCTCGAGATTGCCTTTGACAACTCCAAAAGTGAACTCAGAGCTTGATGGGCCACAAAACTCCGGAGAATTACTACTTGCGTCACATGACATGAGATTTGGCCCAGACTCAAGGACAGGACTCGTCTCTTGGCCAGGCGATTGTGATGATCGAGTGTGTGTAGATACAGTTTTTGAGACGCTGAGTGAGTTTTCATGTTGAGGAGAAGTATGAGGTCTGCTTGGATCCGGGTTCCTTAATTTTCGTGAGCTATATAGATCCCCCGGTAGGATAGCGAAGGAGAGAAGATTTCCAAAGATTTACTTGAAGAAGTACAACGTGTAATTGAAGGGATGTAACTTACTTTGAACTGAGCTTCGGAGTGCCTAGAACTCGACGCTGTGGGTGGTATTGGCATGTGACCGAATTCCGTGTGCATGCCGCGCAGGGGTTGACACCGTCGCACTTGATCTTCTTCCTCTTGCATTCGATGCTTGGAAACGTGTTAGATATTTCCTGACCTGGGCGGGTCTTCGGAAGGCTTACCATGCTTGATTGACGTAAGGGACCCTTCTATTCCGCCGATGACGCAGTGCGATAAGATAATCACTGCTCCCATCGGAGGGCACCATTGCAGGATTGGATTCCGACAGTGTCGAGCGTCAGAGCTGAGATAGTTTCGAGAGACTCAGCGTGATGTTATTTGGAACATGGTCGGGATTTGAGCAAGGACACTTGAAGTGGACGAAGGCATAGAACCACAGAGCCCCTTCTCATGTGCCTAGAGAAAGTTCACTGAGCATTGGCTCGGGTATTCCGGAACTTCATAGGTATCCATGCTGCCTAATACCAGGTAGTCTTAGTTGCCCCGATAGCGAGATTTCACCGCGCGGGGAACTCTCCAGATTTACCCCGCATTAAGGACGATCACCCGCAAGTTCAAGCTTCGGCAAAGGGGAGAGGGAGACAGCAATTATCATACGGATCGTACGGATACACCTACTTGAAACATACTTCTGTTCATAATTGGATACAACGATAAGACGCTAGTTCCGGGTCATGGCTGGAACTTCTGGCCCTTTTTCCAGCACCCGATTCACCCTGCATTCAGTGTCTTTCTGTCTGCAATCGACAATTTCGGGCCGTCCTAGTGCTGTCGGTACCTAGGTTGCGAATCGCAACCCCCGGGTCTTGCAAGCCTTCCTCACGAGTTCGGCAATGCGAGCTACGTAGCAATCCAAGAATATCTTCGCTTAGGTTGATACCTGCAGCGTCCGGATTTCTTGAGGTGGGATCATGAATATTGCAGATGGGTGGAATTAATTCAATGGCCCCGTGGCGAGGAGACTACTTACTTATAGTACGGCTGTTACCCTGGGGTTTAGTGCAGCAGCAACTCTTTCCAGGCCAGTAAGCAACTGAGTTTCATCCTGAGAGGACACAATACGGAACCACCCAACACTCTCAGAACCAAAGTCTTTTCCCGAAGAAACATATACCTTGTGTTTCAAAAAGAGCTTCATCAAGAAGTCATCCAGGTCCTCTTCTTCGACAGTTCCAGGATTGTGTCTTCTCCAAGCACTCCCAAGATCAGCCCAGAGGAAGAAAGCCTCGTTCGCGCCGGTCGTGTAGGGGATGCCGTGGGTGTTCGCCCAATGCGCGACAAGCCTGTACCTATCGGCAAGCCTTGTCCTGTTCGTCTGGATGAACATGTCTGACCACTTTTCATCTTCGAGAATGTTAGCTGCGATGTCATCCGATGCAGAAGATGGAGAGCTGTAAAGAGCTACAGCCACTAATGCTTTGTGCAGAGACAGATTAGACTGAGAGATGATAGTCTCGATCCGAAGCCCGTTCGCGCCGAAGTCCTTCGACATGCCCCAAATCGTGTGGATTCGGTCGGGTGTTAAATTAGTTGAGGTGAGTGACAGGCATGAAGTGAAAGGCGCTGGTTCAGGCCCCTGGTCCACCTGATTTTCCCACACCGACAAGGCGTGGATTTCGTCGCTGATGAAGTGCATGCCATTCTCGGAGCAGAAACTCTTGAGGTTGAGCAGGCTGGCGCGAGAATAACATCTGCCAAGGGGATTGTGTGGGTTTGATACAATAAGCCCTGCGATTCGCTGGCACCCCATAGCTGCCTTTTTGAGAGCACGCTTATAGTGGTCGACTGCCTCGGCGGCCAGGGGGTCGATAGGCCAAAAGTCCACTGGAATGACCTTACAGCCAGTTCTTAAGACCGGGTCTGGGACAAAGGTATTCTAGGTAGTCAGGCCGTCCCAGCAAAAAGGCATCACCGGGATTGGCTATGGCCCAGGCGATGTGTTCAACGGCAGAACTGCAGCCGTTTGTGATTGTAAAGTGCGCTAGCTTTAGGGGGCTTGAAGGCTGCAGGTGTCGGTTGAGAAATGTGGCAAGGGCTGTTTTGATCCTTTTAGATCCAGCCATGCCATCTCCATAGGTGAATGAATGAACTGGCAACTTGAAATGTTTTTGCATATGCTCTGATAGCTCCTGAGCTATCAACGTTTGGCTTCCTTTCCCCTCCATCCGTGACTGTCTCGTTCGGTACCATGCCGCTAACCCTTGTATTGATCAAGTTGTCAGCGACATCGTCGGCACGTATGTTGTCGAAGCTTCACTAAGCGACTTGGTTGTAGATTTCGCCTCCTATGCAAGTGTACATCAAAGTAGCGGGCCTTGTGCAAGCGATGGAGACGATCGATTATGGGAACGCCAGCGAGGGGCTGGTGTCTTTGCCAACATCTAAGGCAACAGACATTTTTGACATGCCGAATGTTGCCTGGGCGGTTGCGAATCATTTGCAGATCGAAAGTCGGCTAGACAGATACAAGCTCAATCCCAGGCTTTTAATCAAGCATCCCGAATTCCTCGAAAGCGCCAGAGAACTCATAGCACAGGGTACGCCACTACGGCCAGAGCACGCATCGTGTCTCTCTTTTCCCGCCTCGATAGATACCAAGACAGCGTCTTCATATCGCAACTTTATTGCTTTCACTTGCTTCAACGTATATGAAAGCCAAGAATAGAACTCTTTCGTAATTGATACGTCAAATAACCAGGTTCCTGTCTTCCGTTACATCGTAAGAAATCTATACGCGATAGTTACAGCGCCTTCGGTCGTCGTTCGATGGTGACCCACATATCCTTGAAGAAACTGACGCCCCCTTTCACAACATACTTACCAGGCTCTCCACTATTGAGGATCTCTGGCTTGAAAGTCCTGAAGAATTGAAGAGGCCCTTTGAACAATTCCATCATTGCAAGGTCTTTTCCCAGGCAAACTCTGGCCCCGTATCCAAACCCCATGTTGTACTTGAGTATCTCCTTTGTCTTCTCCTCGCTTTCTAGCCATCGCTCTGGTCGGAACTCGGTAGCGTCGGGACCAAAGATATTCTCGTCGCGATGCACCAGCCACGGGTTGCAAGTAACCTCAGCTCCTTCTGGTACGTGCTTGCCGTAAAGCTCCATACCGCCTTTCCCAGCAAGCCGAGGAAAGATGTTGGGCGCTGGAGGATTCAATCGCATGGCTTCGCGAATGCACGCCACATAGAATGGGCAATGTTCCTGGACTTCCGCGTACTGAGGCATCTCTGAAAGATTACCAGCTCGAGTCTGCTCGTCAATCTCGGCCATGAGACGATCATAGACGCCGGGATTTGTCATGATATGCATCATGAAGGCCTGGAATGCAGTGCCCGTAGTATCTGCTCCAGCAAGCAAGACGAGTAAGATTTCGGCTTTGATGTAGTCCAGATCAAGAGGGTTTCCATCCTCGTCCCGGGCTTCAATGAAGCTAGGAACATGTGAGTAAGTGATACTGAGAAACTTTGGGTAATTTTAGGGCAGAATACTGACGTTTGTAGTAAATCGATACGTCCATCTGTCGTCCCTTTCTCGATGTCTTTGAATCTTTGAACGATAAGCCCGTCTCGGAATCTCATCAAAGTCCCGATTCCAGAGTCCTGCTCCGGCGATGCGACAAGGTATTTCCCCAAGAAAGTGCTCTTGACCCAATTTGTGAACGGATAGCACCGTGCCAGTATGCCAAACGGCACAAGGCCGTCGTGAAAACCTTGGATGAGTCCCTCAACATCTTTCCCCTGTTCAATGAAACCGAAAGGCTGTCCGAAGCCAACTTCAGAGACAATATCGTAAGCAAGGTAGACTGCCCATGGAGCAAAGTCCATCTTGGTACCGGAAGTAGCGAATGCATCTAGTCTGGACATCCAGCGCTCGATGTGCTTGTCAAGCAGAGGCTCCATCTTCCGAATGTTTGAAAAAGAGTAAGGCGCCGCAGCGATCTTACGGAAGCGAGCATGAACTGCATGGTCCTGCATGTTGAACAATGATTCCGTCTTTCCGAAACTGCCGGTGATGTAGTGTTGCGACTTGTTGGCATTTCGGTGGTAGATTTCCGGTAACTTGGTTGCGTCACTGACAAGCAACATGGTAGGTGTAATGCGAATGACAGGCCCTAATATTGCGAGTCAACTTTTGACTCTGTTTGAATGTATGGACTCAACATATTCATTACATGCAAGGTAAGTTTATTGTGAACCTGATGCCTTGGTAGACGTGCACTTACCATACTTCTTGTGAAGCTCCTGATTCACCCGACACTCATCCTCCTTAACATTATGATATGTTATCCACAGTCGAGTTACCGAACCCCAAAAAGGGCCGGGGAATTTGGCTAGCGGATGGTAGAAGCGATAATACACGATTTGGTAAAGTAATTTCCACAACACATAGGCTGCAGAGAGCAGCAAAATGTTGCCAAAACTGAACAAAGCCATATTGAAAACAATGGCGAACGAGTTGTAGCAGAGAAAAAAAACTTCGGCTCTATGTTTTCCACTTGATCTGAAATTGGCATTACAATCTCGACCAAAGTCCCAAATTTGCTGATCTTCCTCCGCAACCAGTGCTGGGTCTGTTTCGGTGGAGGCCTGAAAGTTCCTCTTACTGGGTCCCTTCAACGGTGACATCGTCTCATGGGCGAGGAGTGACGGGCATAGTCCGCTTGATGTTGCATCCACTTGAACTTCCTCGGCACTTTTCCCGCCGCTAAGAGCCGACCGACTAACCACAGCGCAGCTAATTCTACAGACGCGACGTAATTGTGGAAATGTGTCGTAGCGAGCAGCAGGGACCGTGATCGGCATTCGTGGAAGGATTCCCATGGTTGTCAAACTTCTATGGAGTGATACGGCTGCGAACCTATCAAAGAAAATGATGAAAATTGCAGGCGATACCACTGGCGCCAGAAGTGGGCGAAATAGTCTAGGCAACGGTATGCCTTCACAGGGCTTTTACGCTCGAGGTCATGTCGGCCGCCCACCAAAAGTCGCATTCCTTACCTCAAGCAGACATGTATCTCAGGTAGTTCGAATACACACGCAAGTAAATGGCAGTGTTAGTTGGATGCCTGGCACCTGAAGATCACTAACAAAGATTATTACCTTACGATTTGATTCAACACGTATTATCCGAGGAACATAGAAAGTATTGGAGGTAATTGTTGACACGCTTGAAGTAACAGCTATAAAAGGATATAACAGTACATGTAGGAACAGGGCTGGGACTTTGGGCGGCACACGATCGTGTCACGCACTTCCCGCGTCAAAAGCCTAGGTAGGTGTTTTCTTTAGATCTTCGAAGTCGTCTTCTTTCATTATTGATACGCGGTATGGCATTATTAGACTACAGCCTGCGGGTACTCTTGGAGATTTTACTTGTGGCAATGGTCATTATCAGCTACCCGAAAGGATACTCGATACAGCCAACTATCCCGCAGTTACTGGGAACTGCAACATCATGCTAGACGCATCTCGAATATGCTTAAGACCATTGAACCCCAGTCTGTCGGGAGTTTCGTACGAATGGGTAAACTCGGCCGGAGATGGGAAATCACGCACCCCCCATCACCATGCAATCAATTGGCCAGTCTGTGTTACCAATTTTCCGGACGTGGACTCACGGCTCGCTCCGTCGATGACCTCGAGAACGCCAGTAACAGAGCTTTCAATCGTGTCAAGTCGGTTGAGATCAAAGTTCCACTGCTTCACAGCATGTTCACCCATAGACGTTCGAACGAATCCGGGGTGGACAGCCACGCTTACCAAGTCTGGATGTTGTATATGCAACGATTTGACCAACCAGTTAAGCGCAGCCTTACTGGGACCATAAGCGCCAGCAGGAAGAGGCTCTTGTTCTTCGATGGATCCAAGCGATGACGTGATTCCGATGAACTTCGCAGGAGGGCCGTCTGCTCCCTGCGGTCTTTCCAGGAGCGGCCAGAGACCTTGGAACACCATCAAGGGTGCGATGGTGTTGATTTCGAATGCGCTCCTTAGTTCCTCGGCGGTGGTCAAGACTGAGCGCGATGCTGTGGCGGATACGGCGGCGTTGCTGATGAGAACATCGATTCGGGTGACGGCACCGCCAGTCGCCGTATCGAAGGCTTTGCGGGCGGCAGTGCTATCAGGGGCGATGTTGAAGTCAAGCAACATGACAAAAAGCTCGCTGCCGTTACCCTTGTTTACATCTCGGACGCTCGACTTCAGTGAAGAAGCAGCTTCATCATTCCTAACGGAGGCAACAACTGTTGTAGATGGTCTCGCTAACAAGGTCTTCACTAGGCCAAGGCCGATGCCTTTGTTGGTTCCAGTAATGACATATACGGTGTTCGGCATTGTCGGACAGCGATTTATGTTGGAATCAAAAACTGCAGAGCGCGAGGCTGGGGTATAGATGGACGCTCGTCGGCGGCGCAACTTATAAGACCGGTAGTTGGCAAAGGATCAGTTGAACGTGGTGATGTGTGATAAGGTTGTAGGGAGACTTTGCGGTAAAGAAGAGGTGATCAGCGGGATCGCGGCATCCACTCTAAATAAGTACAACATCGGAAGGATCAGGACCAGGGCAAGGGGTCAAGAAAAACACGTGAATCTCTTAGGGCCAATCCATCGACCATATAAGCACCTCACGTCAGCAAAAAGTGATGGTTGCGTGATATCCAGGTCTACACGCGCATATCTGTATGGCGTGCCGCAACTTCCGTGTCCACTTCTCAACCTTCTATCATTCTAATTTGTCTCTCTGTCAACATGTTCGCCTTGGCATTGCACAGAAACACTTGGTCAACGTTCAAACCAACAAATTGGCTTTCTCGTGCGCCGCATCTAGACCACCGGCAAAACCATCAGCAATTTTCAATGCCTCCAGACGCTCTTCCTCAACCTTTGCCCAAGTCCACCCTCCGAAGTCATTTGCCTCTGGCGTGGCGTCTGCAATGGATCCTTCTGGTTGGTCCTCCGAAGGAAGAACTCCTGCCGCCTGGAAGAACTTCTGCGGTGGCACAGTGAGACGACCGGCTTTGACAACGCATTTCGAGATTGCTGTCGCATAGACAAGAGGCGATGACTGGTCAGTCTTGCCTTCATCTACTTCCTTCCATGGTTGGTAGGTGGGCGACTTGCTCCCTTTCCGCTTCTCGACAAAATGGGTTACAATGTACAGCCACTTCTTATCCCAGGTGAGGACTCTGCTTTGCATGTTAAAGGCAGCACCAGGCTTGATTTCCTTCTTGAAGGTGCAGGAGGTGCCTGCGAGCAGAACTTGAACACCTCTCTTGTAATCCTTGTACAGACCGCCGTCAATTGCTTGAGCTCTCAGAGCGGCGAGAAGGTCCGTCCTAGCAACATCAAGATCAGAGAAGTAGGTGCTATTTGACTTGTGCAAATTGTAGTCGGTCTCCAGCAGAGCAACCCGAGAAGGTGTGACTACCGGCTGGAAGATAGCTCCAGGTTTGTGCTCGAAAAGCCCATTCTTGGGCCACCAGATGTGGCTGAACACACGAAACTGGCATTAACATTAGGACCGATTTCTCCATAGGGTAGTCAATCATGTCCACAGCTATGACTCACATGCCAAACAAAAGGGATCCTCTTCAGGTTCAGGTACAGTAGTGCAGCTGTGGCCACTCCCCATGCTGCCTGGGCTTTGGTTGAGGCGACCGATTGCATCATCTGCTCGAGGATCTGACGAAGGCACGGCTTAGCAGCCCCCAGCGCATCTGCCATTGTTCTCCATAGCGTGGAGTCTATCATGTTAAATTCTTCTGCAGAAGGTCGTGGGATAAAAAGTCAGGTAACATGAAGTCAAAGCCAAGACTTCGGGCTAAGCCAGATGGCCACGGAAGATATTCAAAGCCTCGACGTGGCCACACGAGTCAGTCAGTTAGCAGTGTCGTTGCAGCGAGTCATTTACCTTGAATTGATGGACTCGGATACTCTTGTCAAAAGCGGACGTTGCAAGGCGCTGCTTATCACGCGCATCCATAGTGATTGAATTCAGTCCCTTCTGAAGACTTGATGATTTCCACAAACTCTAAGTTTCACTGGGCTATTTGTAATGGTTACTGCAAGTTATTAGCACTTTGGATCGTATTCGATGAGGTTACAAATCTACATGAACATGTACCCAGAAAGTACATGTAAGCAGTTATACCATCGCGTGGATGATGCACTCTTCTGGAAGGATGAGCTCGTTGGTAGCGGTAAGCGCCTCGAATCTTGGACCATTCCGGAGCTACTCGCCCAGTATGAGCCCGCTCGGCGCCGAAACCTGGATCGGATCCGATCTAGAGTGGGGATAAATCGGCCGAGGTTACGGGAAACCCAGCCTGTTGAAATGCTTCATGTGGTACGAATCATTGAGAAAAGGCCTATTTTGACATTATGATTGGCCAAGACGCAGTCGGTATTGTTTCAACCTTAAATCGGGTTTTCTTCTTTTCTCAGTGGCACTGTGGTGTTCTGCATGAATGCGTAGTAACTCTCCGTTTTCGAAATCGAAAACACCGGGTTAGGATACAGGTGCCATGCCGGTGTTACGAACTTTGCAAGCCCCGTCTTTGGAAATTGCTATGTGGCATTTCCTTGTCGCGTAGATTCGCTTTCATGAAGATTTTGAGAATGTTTGCAGCTCCAATGTCAGGATCTTACTTGTTGTTCTCATTTGAGGAGCAACGTGTAAGACGAGTCTACGTTTCCTGTATGTCCAGTCAGCAGCCCTCACCTGCCGGTTGTGAGGCTGCATGTCCGGTGATGGTATGGCTGCGATCGGGGTTTGGTAGAGAATCGCGGGAGTGTGTAAGACAATGTTCTGGTGCATTCGTCCAATTTCAGTGCAGGTCGCGAGCACAGACTCCACGTGTACAAGTGATTGCTAGTTGAGCAGATCGATTTTTCGGAGGTCCATAGATGAACGAGCGTTCGTCCTGGTTTGTGTCTTGCAGAGCAAATAAACAATGCACTAATAATTCTAGGAGAGATAATGGTGCTGCAGATCCAACTGTGCGTACTCTGCATAACCCTCGGGAATTTCTTGGCATCTCAGACACCCCATCGGTGACCATGGTGCCAGACCTTTCAGCTAAGGTAGCTGAACACACACAGGGCCCCTACACACCAGGGTAGGTAGTCTGGACTCGGCCAGATGTCTAGCTCCGTGAACACAGGGACGGGAAACCAGGATGACAGTACGCTACGCGCGTCAGTGAACTCGAGCGTATTCGTTCCATCGGGCTTTGTCAAAGCACGAGGTAAAGGGATCATCGCCATCGGTAGTCCGTCTGCACCGCGCCCAGTTTGTCTCCACGTTACTTCCGGTCCGCTGAGCTGACGCTCCACGCGGCCAACGGACGCCCCTGACAAGTGCTGTCATTTAGCGTCACAACGCATCAGCCGAAGACCCAAGTGCCAATCATCAACCCAGGCTCATTTCGGTAGAAGTCGGTGTGGTTGCCAACGGAAGAGCCGCAGCGCTTCGATAGAGGCGATTTTCCCACCCTACATGACGTAGAGATGGCCAGGCACAGGCCCAGCAAGCTCACCCGTCTTGGCTTTGAGCCGACTTGCCGGTTTTTCGTGGGGAACTTAAGAGCCCCATCACATCCACATTGCCCATTCGGTCCAGCCAGTCGCCTAGTTCGAGACATTTGCTCTTGACGTCAACAAAACAGGGAATCTAGTGGGAAACGAGGTTTACCACTTTTTCCGGCTCCTCAATGATCTCACCTATGGCTGGACGCAGCTAGAAGCTACTCAAATTGGATCAAAACGTCAACACAGCGGAAGCTATATGAGCTCCGTACAGCTGCCCAGAATGTTTAGATGATTTTAAAGTTTTGCTCCACACTGATTTTCATCTCCAACCTGCGGACTTTATCTCATCACAATCGTTTGCGCGATACAATGGCTCGCCAACAGAGTCTGAGCTCGAAGCTCATCCAACTGCTGCCCTTCGTTGCCTACTCTTCGGCATCAGCATTGTACTCTACCTATAGCTTCAACCCGCTGACACATCTGGGAGGCATTGCCCCGTACTTCGAATCACAAGACCCTCAATCATCACCCGACGCGCCACAGGGATGCAAAGCAGAACGTGCAGCTTACCTGGTTCGACATGCAGCCATTTACGCAAACGACTTCGACTTCGAAGAGTACATCGAGCCCTTCCTCGAAAAGCTGGGCAACAAGACGAGCATCGAATGGAGCAAGATCCCTTACCTGAACTTCTTGTCGGGCTGGGAGGCACCAGTGTCTGAGGCTGAGGCCGAGATCTTGACACGGGTTGGGAGACTTGAAGCGACTCAACTCGGCGTCGACCTCGAGTTCAGATACCCCAACCTCAGACTCCCCAAAAGAGTATGGACCTCTTCCGCAGAGAGGACAGAAAAGTCTGCCCAGTCTCTCGTGCGCGGGCTCGAGACCGACGACAACACCATGAACGTCGTCAGCATCTACGAATCGGAGGAGTCAGGCGCAGACAGCTTAACGCCTTACAAGGCCTGCCCGGCTTACTCTTCCTCTGCGGGCAGCAAACAGTCTGCCGTCTACCAGGAAAAGTTCACGAAACCCATCATTGCCCGCTTCAATGACTTGGCCCCAGAGTTCAACTTCACGACGAACGACATCTTTGGCATGCAGCAACTTTGCGGATACGAGACCGTCATCCGCGGAAAGTCTCCTTTTTGCAACTTGGAGCTCTTTACCCCCGACGATTGGCTCGCCTGGGAGTACACGGAAGACATCCGCTACCACTACAACGTCGGTTATGGAGCCGAGGCGTCTGGATATGTCGGTCTCCCCTGGCTGAATGCCACCGCAAACCTGCTCATGGGTGACTCAAGCGATGAGGATATCTATGTTAGCTTCACTCACCGTGAACTGCCTCCTATGGTCATCGTTGCGATGGGTCTTTTCAACAACTCTGAGTTTGGTGGCAGCGAGGCTTCCATCAACGACACTATGCCGCTTGACCGCATCAATTACCGCCGTGCATGGAAGGCCTCCAGCATCCTGCCATTCCTTGGCAACATTGCCGTTGAGCGTCTGAACTGCACCGGCGCCTATGGGTACGATAATGGCGACTACTACCGTGTGCTGGTAAACAGCGCACCTCAACCCCTTCCTGATTGCGCCGATGGCCCCGGCACTTCCTGCTCCAGAAAGGGTTTCGAGACGTATCTGCAAGATAGAGTGGACCAGTTCTCTGGCTTCTCTGAGAAGTGTGGTGTCGAGTACAAGAACAGTACCGACGTCCTGTCGATTTATACAGATGCCGCGGTTGGCAATGGAACCACAGTGGGCAAGCGTTATGAGCCATTCCTTAATTAAACATAGCGTAGAATGACCTGTAATCATAGTATTAATTAATGTCTCATCCTTAATTTGATATCCAACCTGGTGGAACTCCGCGTTGTTAACTTCCTTCTTTGTCCCCGATTAGCCAGCAGGAAACCGCATCTGATGTTATCCCTGGCTTCTTGCACCAAACATCATGCGGGTCATCCACGAACGCAACCAAAGCCACAATCTCCGCGTCGTCGTAGCATAAGACAAGATGTAAAGCATAATTCGGTCGGTGACTCTAGAAGTGTCAATCGTCTTATAGTTTTTGAAATATTAGCAATTGCACTCTTGTCTATTCGTTGTTACAAGGCGCTTACCATTGGATTCTTGCCCCCGCTCCTCTTCACCCATTCAAAAGCTCGAGGTATGACAGCCCCCTCATACCTGTCGCAAGCCTCTATTATGTCGGCCTCTTTCAGCCCTTCCGTCGTCTTTGCCGTCTCTGCTAATCGGACTAGTAACGGCAAGGCATCGGCCGTATCTCGCATGGCTTGGTTACCACCCATTCCCCTGTTGATGTCAGTTCCGGAATTCTGCATGGCCTATCGAAGGGTTTACCTTGAGGGAAACATTGAGTGTATAGAATCTCCTATGAGCCATATGTGCGGGTTCCCAAGCCGTTTGTCATCAGCTGATGTAACTAATTTGCGCCAGTTCGTCGACGGACGGGAGGACACTCGTGGTGCCCCGTAGTACATCTCTTGACCCCGGAAGACTCCAATTATATATCGGCTGTAGAGAGAAACATGTAAGTAATACATTTCGAACTTGAAGCAGGCTTTGCGGAAACACCCTTACTGTTTTGGGGACCAGTCCCAAAAGAGATGGTCAACGGCATCCCACTTTTCTGCTTGCGACAAAGATTCGAAGCTGCGTGAGGTCGCCATGCGATCGACGAAGAATCCAACACCGAGCATACACGACGCTAGCTCTTCTTCATTTTCGGCATCTGCATTTTCAAAACGAGCTGTCATGTCACCGGGCATATAGACTAGAAAGATGATTATTGGCACAAATTCCAACCCAATTAGCTCAAATGATTCCACAGTGACCAAATACCTTGGAAATACAGGGTCTTTCCATCTTGTAAAGTAGCTATGGGTGAGCTCGGATCCGGTGACAGCCGGCGGCAAACTGACAATGGAAGGTCGCATCTAGTCAAAAAGGACCTAAAAGAGCTTATTTCCTCGATGTTGTTAAGTCCGCAGAGATTATTGATCTAGAATGAATAAGCAAATCCATAGAAGAGTGTGGGAACGGGTGAGTTACCTGCGAGTTATTGCCATCAGCAGCAAGCAAAATGTCGCAGACGTCAGAGGTGCCATCATCAAAGTTCACCGCAACTATATCTCGATGGAGTCCTGGACAAATTTCAAAGTCCTTGAATTTCTTTTGATAATGAATCTTGCTCATTGTGTCAAGTGGCTCGCGAAGAGCATTTTGGAGGATGACGCGGCTAATAGGCGAGGATTGTGTATAGTTCGGGTCGAGCCCGGGTTCGAAAATCTTACGAAAGTGTTTGTCGTACAAGATCGGTGCCTGCGATGACACTGACCTGCCGAAGTGCTTGGAGATTGAATCGATTTGGTCTTGGTCAAGACATGCTCGCATGCCTATAAATGTAGCCTCCCCTAAGCGGATCTGATATCCTTCTCTTTTGGAGTTCTTCTCTTGTCTTTCATACACCTCGAAGTCGACATTGTGTCGCGCTAGCCCGTTAGCCAGAAGGCTGCCAGCGAGACCCGCGCCAACAATGATCACTTTGAAAGGGGGTTGTGTAGCGGAATTGCTCATTACTAAGATGTTTTGATTCAGATGATCAATGGAAAGTTAGACGCCGGGAATATGAACACTTGCCGTGCCTGCATTTGACCAAAGAATCTATTATGCTTACTTTTCAATCGTGTCATGGCAAAAGACATCTAATGACTTGACTCTTAATACTGCGAGACTACAGAGAATCGGTACTCTATATTGCCGAGACTACCGCTTCGGCCAGGAATGTTCACCGAGTACCGACTCCGAATGCCTGATGTCCCAAGACTTGCAAGGATCTAGATCATCTGAAGTTCGACTTTGCAACCTTCCCCGCTGCTTCGAATTGGCAGGCCACATCATCAGACGAGTGTTTGGTGGCCATGATTGGCCACAGCGAAGTCAAAAGGTGAGACGGGGCGAGGATTGGTTGTCTAAGAGCGGCATCGAGGGCCGAGTTTCAAAATCAACGATGTGTCATTCGAAGATAATCGGCTACCTATGTGGTTGATAGCATTGTCGCAAGCCCCGTTAAGCTTCATACCCATATCCTCCTTTACCTTACTCCTTTGAAAGCAAAGCACTGATATTAGTAGCCTTTGTATATAGTATATTCCTTATAATATAACTTGATGATGCCCTTACTGTATAGCTCGTGGGTATTGAAGGTGAAAGCTGGATGAGATGCCGACAAGGAGTATCGCTCATGTGAGTAAAGGGGTACCTGGTGAAAGCCCGCACCCTTCTCGAATGTGAGACGCAAGAATCAGTCTGAATCCTATGCTTAAGAGAATAATATACGTCAATCATCAACTTTCATCGAGTTTCCACAGAACGGCGGGAGTGTAGAGACTTTGGCTCTGGAGGTTTTGTTTTTCCAGGACCGAACAGATGTGGCTTCAGCCCACGCAGCTCAGAAAAAGGGAAGCCTGAAAAGGTCATCTCCTGATACAGTATCTACATGTATGGAATCTTGTCCCCCCATGCATATTCAGGTTTACCTACCTACACTTGGTTTCACGCAGTCCTATTGGCGCACATTCAACCGGAGAGGATTCTTACTACCGGCATGCTCAAAGCCATAGCTTCGATATCATTGATCTAGACCTTCTCTTTGCATTGCAGTACGTAATGGAAGCGATCTGGTGTGGAAAACTTCGTAACGCTTGTACCAACGTTAAAATCCCGACAGTCTTGCGGGAGCTTTCGCTGATAACGGTACTACATGGGCCATCGGCGTCGGCCGCAGGCCGCTGCAACCCCCATGCCAACTCATTCTTTACTAAGGCGTCCGCGTCCATAGAGAAGCTCGGTTTGATAGTGGATGTTCTAACAATCACCTGCATACAGATTCCCGTTGTGCCGGAGTTTATTCCCTTCTTGGCGACGGCTGAAAGGTGAGGCAATGCAGCACGCAACTTCGACCCCTACACGGAACTCCCGCGCGACGCGATGGAGTCCGGCGTTGAATTGCGCCATAACCACTAACGCGTTGTTACGTACCATTTTACTACTTTGCAGTCAAAAAGGACGTGGTGTTGGTTCGAGGTGCCGACCGTCGGCTTACTGTCTCCTGTCTCTTGTCATGTACCCAACGACTGAGTACAGTACATTGCAGATTAGTTGATGATGGTCAAGTATCAGTGTCAAGTAATGATGCTTGTAGACAGATTTTTGACTTTAATACATTTCCAAGTTAAAATGGCACGGGGACACACTTCAATTTGAAGTTAATGCCGTTTTTGTACGAGCTTTGAAGCTTTGGGTGACCGCGCTCGAGTTTTGCTTTTTTTTCTTCGTCTTCTCATGTTTTCTTTCTTTATGTTGGCTGACCAGGAAGATTCGCCATGCTGGTGACAGTTGTTGTCATCGCCAGACCCTGTTTAACCCCTTGGTCCCCCACATCGGAGGCTGGTTGTGTCATCCACCCCTCGGATGTTGAAATCGGGAACGGCCCGTTAGCGAACGTTTACCAGATTACCACCGAGCTCGTCGGCATCGAGAGCGGATGAAGACCGCAAAGGGTTCAAACCTTTTCGGATGGCAAAATTCAAAATGCAAGGATAAAACTTTGCAGGAAGAATGGGAGGCCCCTGGTTTAAAAAGGTAGGTGGAAGCCAGCACGATTCCTTTGATGAGCTCACAGTGCAGCACCCTTGATCGAGACCTGCCCGTCTTACATCGCCGGCCCAACTACACCGGAAGATTACTTTCCTGAGGCGCTCTACTCAGCCCTACCCGTGTCCTCGCGTCTTGGTACTCGTTTCAATGGCTTGGCGACGTCCGTTTGGCGATCGCGCTAGCGCGCAAGGGACGGTTGTTGAAGGCCAGCGAGAGCAGATCGCAAATGGCAGCACGCAGTACATCGGCGAGAAAGGAGGAAACGATGCGCCTCCCACCTATCAGGATGCTTCTGGAGCGCCTGTCGAGAACAATTCGCCTCTAGGATACGATGTTGGCCCTGTCACGATCACGCTTCTAAACATCACGATGATGATTGGCGCCGGTATCTACTCTACTCGTAGGTTCGACCGACTCGATATTTTTGCCCAATTTTTGCTGAGTCTGTTAAGCGGCTTCTATCTTGAATGGCACTGGCTCTGTCGGTGTCAGCTTCGTCTATTGGACTCTTGGTTATTTGGTACGTTCCTGTGGTATTACCCATGACCACATGTAACATTTTACTTGGCCCAGGAATGGAGTAAATGCTGATCATCTCTACCCCTACATGTAGTTGTGCCTTGCTTCCGGAGCGGTCTATCTCGAATTCACAGCGTACTTCCCCAGTCGATCAGGATCTGAGGTTGTGTTCCTTGAGCAAGCATATCCCCGCCCAATGTGGCTGTTTCCAACTACCTTTGCGGTCCAGAGCGTCATTCTCTCTTTCGGAAGTGCCAATGCCACCGTCATGGCCAATTATCTTATTGCCATTTCAGGACACGAGGGAACCAACTGGCAAATCAAGGGCACCGCCTTGGCCTGCTACAGTCTGGCCACCCTGAGTGAGTTTCCACGTTACCAGACCCTTCGCATAAACCCGACATGGCGTGGTTCATCCACTAACAACCTGCAGCGCTAGTTTTCAACACAAAGTATGCATACTGGTTCTCCAATGGCGTTGGAATCGTGAAGATATGTACCTTGCTCTTTGTGATCGTCACTGGATTTGTGGTACTCGGTGGTGGCACCAGGGTTGAGAACCCAACGGCCAATTTCCAGGATGCTTGGTCAGGGAGCAAGACAGCCAGTGCCTATGGTATGACTACGGCTCTTTACCGCATCATCTTCTCCTATGGTGGCTACAACAACGCCTTTAACGTTGCCAATGAGGTCAAGGTATGAGCCATGACGCCAGGCGAAAAATGATCCCAGACTGATCCAGAGCTCGTTAGAATCCTGTGCGATCCCTCAAGATCTATGCGACAGCTGCACTGACGACTGTGTACATTTTGTACATGTTTGCCAATGTCGCATTCTTTGCCGCCGGTAGGTTGCCCAAGTCTTTAGGATTGAGGTTCTGGCATTATGTCTAACGAAAAGATGTTACAGTCCCAAGAGAACTCTTGGAGAAGTCCGGCCTCACTGTGGCCAGCTTGTTCTTCACTCAAGTCTTTGGCAACAGTGGTAATGTTCGGGGACTCAACTTTCTTATCGCACTAGCTTCATTTGGAAACATGATTGCAGTTATCATCGGACTGTCTCGACGCATCAGAGAGTGTGGCCGACAGGGCGTCTTGCCGTACACGAGATTCTGGGTTTCCACCAAGCCTTTCGGCACTCCACTTGGGCCCTATCTCGTCATCTGGTCTCTGACGGCTCTGATGATCCTGGCGGTTCCTGCCGGAGATGCCTTCACCTTTGGTGAGTTCCATCACTCAGTTGGCACTCGATTCAGGAGACTGATTTTGATTAGTGAATGACCTTGGAGTTTTCCCGACGGCTGCCTTCAACTTGGCCATGGCCGTGGGAATCTACGTTGTTCGCTGGCGCCGCAGAAAGGCTAATCTTCCGGAGCCTGAGTTCAAAGCTTGGCATGTGGTTATCATCTTCAACATCTGCATTCAGCTCTACCTTCTCATCATGCCGTGGTACCCTCCGGCAGGTGGACAGTATGCCGGCGATGTCAGCTTCTGGTACGCGACGTACGCCGTTACTGGTATCGGCATGTGAGTGGAATCCCTCCCCTAATATTTGTTTCTTGAGCGAACGCTGATCGCAGGACTCGCAGACTCCTCATTTGCGCTGCCTACTACTGGCTCTGGGCTTCCCTTCTTCCCAAGTGGAGAGGCTACAAGCTGAGGCAAGAGCTCGTTAGCTTCGATGACGGTGCTCAAAGCAATCAACTCCGGAAGATCCCCAACGCCGACGTTTCCGAATGGGACAGCACTCACGATGCGAGTGGTCGCCTCATTGAGCCATCTGCCGACGAGGTTCTCGTGCAGGAGAAGGGGGTGCGCGTCTCTTCCGAGGGAAGCAACTCCGATACTGGGAAACACGTCCCAAATGCAGTGAGAGAAACTCACAATGTCTGAAAATGATTAGAGGAGTGCGAAGGAGCCGATGGTCAGCGGATGTACACAAACCACATGCTTGTTGAGGTGATCAAGCTACACTTCTTGGCTTTCTCATTTGATGCTATCGTGAAGTTTGGCCGATGGAAGGACACATCGTTCTCAAAGACTCAGATAGCAGTCAGCAATTGACACGCATCTGTTTCACTTCTACTTCTACCGTCTATGATATAGGGGGACTCTTGTTTCCCTTTCGCATGTTTATCAAAACCTCATCATACCCCAGTGTCTTAGCGTCAGCTTGACAATAGGTCACAGGCAAATCGCAATTCCCTTAAGTTTTCCCTTGCTATCAGACAAGACAAGGTATCAACAAACCGCGTTGCGCTGCTATGTCATCATGATCCTGCGTGCCGCTAGGCCAATCACACAAGCGGCGATCGCTACTGCATGCGCCCGGCCTCGGCTTGTGTGGCTGAATGACATCATGCAGCTCTCTCCCTTTATCAGAAGCTCGAGACAACAATC